GACAAGGACCAAATCTGTTCACAGATATTTAATCATAACTTTCAGATAAATATGCAGGACATGTACAAACTCCTCATACAGATTCAAAGGGATTTATATTCTCCCACAGCAAAAGCTTCTTTCTGACCATCGGCAACAGTGAGGCACTAAGCAACACAGTTAGACCCTATCTCTAAATAAAATACAAAATAGAGTTGGGGATGTGGCTCAGTGGTTGAGTGCCCTTGAGTTCAATCCCAGCTCTCCCACTGATCCCTCCCTCAGAAGCCTGGATACCAGTGATCCTTTCCCCTTTCTTCATTTACTGTTTTCTTTCTCTAGAAGTAGATAGGTTTAATAATGGCTCACAGTCCTGTATCTGAGGAACTGATTTAGCAAGAGAAAGTAGAGAGAGCTATCACTCAGTCCCCACCAGCCCATCAGAGCCCCAAAGTGAAATAAACAATAATATATAGGGGCTTCAGGTGTAGCTCTATGGTGAAGCACATACTTAGTGTATGCAAGGCCCTGAGTTCAACCTCCAGCACAAAAGGAAAAAAGTCCCTCCAAAATAGAGGAGTTCAAGATCTAAAAATAGTCCTTTATTGGAGTGTAAAGATACCACTTCAGCTTGGACAAGAGAATCCTGAAAAGTTAACGAACCACACAGATCACCTGCATCTCCCCCTGATTTTTCCAAATGAGGAAATTAGAACATTTAGAAATAAAGTAACTTGTATAGTTATTCAAACAGTAGTAGGATTGGGATTAGATTCCTAGTCTCCTGCCTTCAAGATAGCTGTTCAGGGGACTGGGATTGTGGCTCAGTGGTGGAGCGCTTGCCTGACATGTTCAAGGCACTGGGTTCTATTCTCAGCACCGCTTAAATAAATAAAATATACATCCATTGACAACTAAACAAAATTAAATAAAAAAAAAAGATAGCTGTTCAGTTCATTCCATGCCCCATGCTCATCTAGCAAAACGTATCATAAAGTAACCTCATCATAAGCCATCTGGAATGCAAAACATACTATTTGAACCCTTCTTTCTCTCTGGCAATTTTTAAAAATTTTTTGATTGACATATCATAATTATATGTATTTATGGTGTACAATGCAATTTCTTCTTTCTTTCTTTCTTTTTTTTTTTTTAGGTACCGGTACTAGAGATTGAACCCAGAGATGCTCTACCACTGAACTACATCCCCAGCCCTTTTTATTTTTTATTTTGAGACATGGTCTCACTAAGTTGCCAATGCTGGCCTTGAATTTGTAATCCTCCTGCGTCAGCCTTATGAGTAGCTGGGATTACAGGATTATTACAGATTGCACTACCATGTCCAGCTAATGTGATATTTTGATGTATGAATACATTATAGAAAGATCTGATCCAGCTAATTAACATAATCATCACCTCACCAATTTAATTGTGTATGTGGGTGTGTGTGTGTTAAGAACATTAAAAATTTATTTTAGGAGATGGAAGCAGTGGTGCAGACCTGTGGTCCCAGAGGCTCAGGAAGCTGAGGTAGGAGGATCCCAAGTTCAAGGCAGGAGAATCACAAGTTCGAGGCCAGCCTCAGCAACTTAGTGAGGCCCTGTCTCAAAATAAAACTTGAAAAAAAAATGGGGTCGGGGGTGAGGGTGGAGGTAGAGATGTGACTTAGGGCTTAAGCATTACTGGGTCCAATCTCTAGTATCAAAAACAAAAACAAACCAAAAACACCTAAAAAAAAAAAAAAAAAAACTATTTTAACAATCTTGAAATATACATTAACTGTGGTCACCATGTAGTGCAATAGATCACTAAAACTTATTCCTCCATTCTAACTAAACTTTGTACTCTGTGGTTAACATCTTCCCTTTCCCCTTCTTCCTTCTTCCCCCACTCCCTACCCAATTTTTTTTTTCTTTTTTCCTTTGTGTTTCTCTGTATCTTAGTCTCCCTCTCTTTTTCTAATCCCTTTTATGTTTTTCCCTGTGAATCTTCTCCGGGGTTTCAAATTGAACTGTGGGCATGCTTGCATGATTCTTTCTATAAACTGTGTTTCTATCCAAAGGCAAACATGTGCAAGCCAATCAAGACTCTTTCTTGGTGACCTTTGTGGAAAAGAACACTAGGAATTTCGACAGGAAAGATGCTGAACCTCCCTCCTAGCCTATCCAGACAATTAAAATGAGTCTCTGGCTCCCCTGAGGGTTGTTAACCAATCCAAGGAAAGAAAAGATCAATCTCATTTCTTCGTCACTACAGTGCAGGAAAGCTGCTAACCAGTCAGAGTCTACTACTGAAAGTCATTAGAAAAACTGGCCAATCAGGCCAACCTTGTTACATGGCCTGGTAGGAAAAGAAAGGGACTGATTGGAAAGGATAGTTCTGGCTCCACACCCTTTCCTTCCTGGACCCGTCAGTGATGTGAAGGAAGAACCCTTACACAAAGCTCATGGTTAACAGGATCCCTAAACCTTCAGCTAATCTCTTTAATTCTTCTCTCTCTCTCTCTCTCTCTCTCTCTCTCTCTCTCTCTCTCTCTCTTAAAATTCACTCCTGCTTCATACTACATACAGAACAGTGAGACTACTTTTTTTGTAGTCTCACTGTTCTGCTACTGATGTAATTTCTTGCTTTAAACCTTGTTGCAAAAGCCCCCAGTATTTTCTGGTTCCCCCAAAATCTCTACCCACCAATATGTCAGATAACTTCTTTTGCATGATTTATGTGGGTAAATTTTTGTGACAGTAGTCTCTCTCTCAGGAGATACCATACAAGGACCCTAGTCTCTAGAGACTGCAATAGAGAGCAGTGCAGAATTGAATTGCATTGCTCCTAACCATAATAGTGATGGTGATGAAGATGACAGCAATTATTAAACCATGTACCAAGCACCTAGCTAAAATCTTCACGCATATCATTATCCCAATATTGGCTACAAGGTTAGCACTAATTAGTCCCAATTTACAAAGGAAGAAATTGATTTAGAGGGGTTGAATAATCTGCCCAAGGTCACACAGTGATTTGCCAACTCAAGTTTGTCTCAATTCAGAGTCCACCACTGTATCAAACATTGCAGGCTGTGACAACTTTTTTTTAAGAACATTAAAAATTTATTTAATTTTTGAGAAGGGCTAACTTTAGTTTACTCAGAGACCCTCTGGTCTCTGGGATTGTTGGCGATAATTGAGATTGTCTAAATTGTTGCATCAAACAGCTGCAACCACCGTTTGGCGGTGGCTCCAAAGAACTGTGGACTTTCTGCCTCATAGGCTGTGAACTGAGCGCTAAATGAAATTCAGTTTTGACGGGTGCAGGGGTGTCCGTGGATTTCAGGGTATAAACTTCTAAATCCTTGCTCCCCTGTCTTCCCTTTATCCCACAGCATCCTGCACAGTGCCTGGCACAACTTAGTACTTGGTAAATACCTGTTGATTGATTCCCAAAGATCTCAGTTCCGCTCCTACCCTAGTCAACAACTGGAACTGGAGAGAGATTTGGGGATTTCAGTGGAGCCTCTGAGAATCCTAATCGAGTTGAAATCTTGGATTTAGGGAAGGCGGGAAGTCCCCCACCCTCTTCTTCTCCTATTTCTCTTCACTCCTTCCCCTCCCTTTCAGAAGCTCAGGGCCATAAAAATGCAGATGGAGGATCGGTGTGAAATAACGGGCCCATATAAATCCCTCTGCCGCCCGCCTGCAAGATGGATTGGCCGCATTGAAATTCCTCCGCGAGGATAATTAAACTCGGGGCCTCATCCGGGCAAAATTACATTCCTGTAATGGCGTCGCTCGGGGTCCCGGGAAATTGCTCCGTGGGCTTTCAGCGGCGGTTTTTATCGCCGGCCGGGGTGTGCCTGGCTGCGGCTCGCCTCTCCTCCGGGACCGTAAAGCTGCTGCTGTGATTTATCCTCCCCTTCTCCCAAATCCGATTAAATGGAGGAGCTCGGGGCCGGGGCGCCGCGGGGCCGGAGAGCCGGGAGGGGGCGGCGGGAAGGACGGGGCCAAGGAGGGGAGGACAAACGGCCCCTCAGAGGGTGGCGGATTTGGTTTTATTTACAGCCGCGGCTTTCTTTTTATTTTTTATTTTTTTTATGGGGGTTTGGTGAGTTTTTCCCGTCTTTCTCGTGCTGCGTTCAATGAGCACGATGCCTGGACGGCTGGGGTTTGGAACTAGATAGGCCTCGCGCCCTTCTCTTCCAAAGGGCTGGTTAAGTCCTGTCTGAGGGATAGGCATAGAAGCCCCCACCGCTTCCACCAAGGGGAGGCCCCAAAGGACATCAGAGGGAAGTCGTGGGCTTTCGGGGGAGTGCCTCATGTGTACTGCTTAATCCATATCTCGCCTAGGTGAAACCTGGGCAGAGACCTGGGCTTGCCCAGGGTGACCTTGTACCTTAACTCAGGACACAGGTGATTGTTATTCCTAATCTGCCCCAGGAAAGAGAATTTTGGACTAAACCCCTAATTTTCTGACTTGTTGATACTGCTTTTCTCATGGCTTATCACAGAGTAGGAAAGGGGAAAAGACAAAGCCAGCTGAACCAGCTGTGGCATTTTGCTAACTATTCCCCCCTTAACCAGTTTTCCATCTAATGATGCCGGGAGCCCCAGGGCAACAGAAGGCTGGAATCCCTTGACTTCATTTTCCTCCTGCAACATTTCAGTAACTGAATCGCAATCACTATTGTATGCTATTTAACTCAGTATCTGAAGCTTTCCCCCAATGGGTTGCGCATGCTCAGAAAGGAGACTGGCGGCCAAGATCCCAAACGCTGTACTGATCAAAGGCAGGCCATGTTATGGATCTGCTTACTCTGAAGTTGGCCTATGTCCGCCAACTACAGGGTCGGCTCCGCCTGTAGTTTCTCCTCTCGAACACCAGGTGGGGCCTCTGGCCGGATGCCGCTTCAGAGCTAGCAGGCGGCGCTGTAGAACCTGGGCCCACCCTCGACATTGCATTCACTCTATCCGCGGCGGAGCGACTCGTTCGCCTAGGCGACGCATGCGCCAAGTCTTCCCTTCGCTATTCCCGCCCCCCCCTCCCCTCTCTGTCTTCTGTGCACTGGGAGCAGGTAAGGCGTTGGGGCCTCGTGCCCTCTCTGCGCCGCGCAGGCGCGCAGGGTACCACCTCGCGTGGATGCTGTGCGGCCCTTTTCTTGCTTGTTCCCACCCTGGTGCTTACACCCTCCTCGGTTCCCGCTGTCCCCGCTTCTGAAAGCTATCCCTTCCGCGTGCTAGTGACCTCCAACCGCGCGGGCCTGGCGCCATCTTGGGTGTTTCCTAGGGGAGGGTGCTTTGTAGCTGGCAAAAGTCAGATCCTGTAATGCTGATTTTCATCGGTCTCGACCCAGTCCTTACAGACGCTTTTAGCTCACTTTCTTGCCCTTTCAGAGTTGTCATAGTGCCCTTTCTTTCCCTACTTTCTCACATCTTAACTCTTGCCCCAAATTTCCAGATTCAACCCCAGGACCTCAGGCGCTCCAGCAGTGGAGATAGTACATCGTTCAAAGCCACCAAACCCTCAATTTAAAAAGTGAACTGAGCCGGGCGCGGTGGCGCACGCCTGCAAACCCAGCAGCTCAGGAGGCTGAGGCAGGAGGATCGCAAGTGCAAAACCAGCCTCAGCAACTTAGTGAGACTCTGTCTTTAAATAAAATATAAAAATGGGCTGGGGATGTAGCTCAGTGGTTAAGCGCCCTTGAATTCATTCAATCCCTGGTACAAAAACATAAACTATAAACGTGGTAGAAACTACCAACAGGCATAACATCCTATCCTGTCAGACAGTCTTGGAAGAGCCAGGGCACAAAAGAGTACTGTTACCGGTTGCGTCCCAGTACCTTTACTTTCCTGGCACTCTGGTGTAGTTGGAAAAAATCACAAGCAGTAGGCTAGAAATGAAGGTTTCTGTTAGAGACAGCAGGGCTATAAGGCCCAGCTGGTGGTGCCTGCACGAGTCTTTGCTTTACAACTTTTTATTAAGCTCCGCAGATTTCGCCATCAAGAGTAAAAAGCTGGGCGCGATGGCGCCCTTCTGTAATCCCAGCAACTCAGGATGCTGAGGCAGGAGGATTGGGAGTTCAAAGCCAGCCTCAGCAATTAAGCAAGACCCTGTCTCTAAATAAAAATATAAAAAAGGGCTGGGGGTGTAACTCGGTGGTTGAGCGCCCCTGGGTTCAATCCCTGCCCCCGCCCCCCCCCAAAAAAAAGGAATTTTAAAGGAAGGAAATTATTAAGTTAGCATTCCTGTAACTCGGAACTCTGGAGGAAACCCATGATAATTTAAAAGCCATGGTTCTATAGAGTGCCACTGCCCAAGTGCAGGCTCCAGCTGGCATGGTAGCACACAGCTGTAACCCCAGCAACTGGGGAGGCTAAAGCAGAAAGACTGCAAGTTCTAGACCAGCCTCAATAATTTAGCAAGCCCCTAAGCAATTTAGCAAGATCCTGGGGATCTTGGGGATGTGGCTCAGTGGTTAAGTGTTTCTGAATTCACTCCTGGGTAACAAAAAGAGAAAGAAAACAGATGCAGTTTCCTTTAATTGCCATCTTTGTTGTGAGCCTATTATTACCTGCCTGTACCACTTTATAAATGATTTGGGGGGGAAGGTGGGGGGGTCACTTAACCACTGAGACTTATCTCTAGCCCTCACTCAGTTGCTGAAGCTGGCTTTGAACTCAGGATCTTCCTGCCTCAGCCTCCTAAGCCTCTGGAATTACAGGCATGTGGTTTGCCACCCTACTCAGCTTATAAATTATGATTTTAAGGCTTAAGTGCTTTGAGAAAAACAGCTCTCCCTTTATTAAAAGATTTAAAGAAGTATTGGATTTTGACCCAGGGAAACCTGTTCAGCAGAATTGGGGTTTGTGTTGCATATAGGTAGAAATCAGTTCTAGACTGGACAAGACTTAAAGATACCTATAAAACTAAAAGTAACTAAGATTTTTGGATTCTGAGGTCTTAAACCCTGGGGCAATTTGAACCCAGTTCATTTAAGGAAGTTGTGTTTAATAGACCTACACATTTTCAGAGTTTCAGCCTATGGCACATTAGAAACTGTGTAACTTAATAGAGAAAAGTTCAAGGCTGACTTGGCAAATTAGTGAGACCCTGTCTCAAAATAAAAATTTAAAAGAATTGGGGAGCTGGGCATGGTGGTGCATGCCTGTAATCCCAGCAACTTGGGAGGCTGAAGGAGAAGGAACACAAGTTCAAAGCCAGCCTCAGCAATTTAGTGAGGCTGTCTCAAAATAAAAAAATAAGAAGAGCTGGGGATGTGGCTCAGTGGTTAAGTGCCCCTGGGTTTAATCCCCAGTACCAAAAAAAAAAAGCGTTGGAGATGTTGCTCATTGGAAGAGTACCCCTAGGTTTAATTCCCAGTACCCCAAAAAACAAACAAAAGTAAAATGCTTGATCTCAAGTCCTAGTTCTACCACTACCCTAGTTGTGTGTGTGTTTTGGTATTGGGGTTGAATTCAAAGGGGCTATACCCCTGAAATATATCCCAAAAAGCCTTTAATTTTTTTTTTTTTTTCATTTAGAAACAAAGGCCTGACTAAATTGTTCAGGCTGCCCTCCAACTTAAATCCCTGTCTCAGCCTCCTGATAACTAGAATTAAAGGCTTCTGCCACCATGCCTAGCTCCAGGAATATATATTTTTAGTACATATACTACCTCTACCCCCAGATAATTTTGGTTCTGGTGTCTTCTCACTTCACTTGGAGAAATCTTGCGTTTATATCTTTAACTTTCCCTCTCTTCTCTGGTAAGTTCAGCTCTACCAATTTAGACACCTGTAGGGTGTAAGGACTTATTTAGATCTTAGGGATGCAAAATATAATACTATAGTGAAATGAATAGTTTAACAGTCATTGCTGTTGAGGATTATTAGAGTTTCTCATTGATCTGCCTCATGCTGTTAGTTAAATAGGAAAAGTGTTTTGAGTGTCAAGTACTGCTAAATAATTCAGTAAAAAAGATTGTTGGAGTCCTTCCAGTGTCTTGGCCTTCAACAAGTATCTGTCAAGAGTACAAAGACTCGTCTTTTTTTTTTTTTTTTTTTTGAGAATTTTTTAATATTTATTTTTTAGTATTTGGCGGACACAACATCTTTGTTTGTATGTGGTGCTGAGGATCGAACCCAGGCCGCATGCATGCCAGGCGAGTGCACTACCGCTTGAGCCACATCCCCAGCCCAAAGACTCTAGTCTTTAGGGGCTGGGATGTGTCTCAGTGGTAGAGCACTTGTTCAGAACAAGAGAACATCATTTGATGATAAGAAAATCTTGGAAGCTCTATGGAGTTTCTGGAGGAAAACACAATATCAAGATTCTTATTCCATCTCTACTGATCAATCTTTCTGCTCTCTGGGCCAGTTAAGCTTTCCAGAGCAAATTTAGTGAGCAAGGACAGTATTTATAATGCTGCTTCTGTAATTCCAGCTTTCTTGCCACGACCCCTCACCCCCTGAAAATGTATGCCTGCTCCAGGTTCCTCTCCACCCACTCCTTGGTGAGTACCTGCTTTTTCTGGGAGAGTTTTCTTTTCTTGTCAGACCTTATTTTTCACAGCTGGGTTTGGGGGGTGTGAATGAGATTCTTGAGCAGGGATGGCTCTTTGCTCTGGTAGCCTGACAAAAGAGTGTAAATTGTTTCCAAGGTACTTCCCTATCCTATATTCTTTGGAGGCCAGCTAATTCTTACATATCCATAACCAAGATCATGTTATTCCTAATCAAACTATATGTTCCTGTACATTGGAGCCCAGCCAGAAGTGGTAAGCATAAAGTTGATACATAGTTTGGTCTGTATATGAATTGGGAATAGGATCTCAGTGAACTGTAGCTAGGAGTTCATTCTAGGAACTGAAATTTGGTTTTAAAAAAAGCTTACATACACATTGGAAAAGCATTTGGCTCAGAAGCAAAATTAGATGGCCGGGTGCAGTGGCACACGTCTGTAATCCCAGTGGCTCTGGAGGCTGAAGTAGGAGGATCACAAGTTCAAAGCCAGCCTCAGCAATTTAGCAAGGCCCTAAGAAACTTAGTGAGACCTTGTCTCTAAATAAAATATTAAAAAAGGGATGGGGATGTGGCTTAGTGGATAAGCACCCCTGGGTTCAATACCTGGTACCAAAAAAAGTAAATAAATAAAAATTAGATAGATCAAGGTGGGGTACACATCTGAAATCCCAGCAGCATGGGAGGCTGAGGCAGGAGGACCATAAGTTCAAGGCCAGCCACAGCAACTTAGTGAGACCCTGTCTCAAAATAAAAAGGGCTGAGGATATAGCTCAGTGGTAAAGTGCCCCTGGGTTCAATGTTCAGTACCAAAAAAAATGAGAGAGGCATTTCTCATAAGTTAAAAGGAGTAATGCTGTTAGTAGGCACCATTTATTATTTCCCATGTGCCTAGCATCAAGTTTACCAATTTGTATACTTCATCTAATTTATTCCTCAAATCAACTCTGATATTGTTCCCACTTGATAGATAAGAAGACAGAAAGATTTAAGTGACTGATCCCAAGATTGCACAGCTGATAAAAGAGTTAAAATTGGAGTGTAGATCTATCTGACTTTAAAGACCTAGCTGTTACTTACTATGTGTGTTTTGAAGATATTGGGGTTAGTTAGTAAAGGCTACCAGGAGGAGGTAAATGTTGAGTGTGGATCTTTGAGTTTATTTTCCAGAGGATGTGAAAGATGCCCCAAACCTTGGCTTCCTTTTTGTGGGCTGGCCATTATCAGATAATTCCAAGGCTTAATTTTTTTCTTGTTCTTAGGGACTGTAAAAAGGTACAGCAAGGGTTTACAGTAAAACCCTTTTAGCACAAAAGGAAGTAGACTTTCTTAAAGACTGAGAACAAGAGATATGGTGATGTATCTACCCCTACCGTTTGGTGGTACTAAGAATTCAGCCCAGGGTACTCTTCCATTGAGCCACATTCCCAGCCCTTTTTATTTTTCATCTTGAGACAAGATCCACTAAGTTGCCTGGACTGGCCTCAGTCTTGGAATTCTCCTGCCTCAGCCTCTGGAGTTGGTGGGATTATAGGTGATGCCACCACACCAGTGGTGGGGGAATGTACAGTTTGCTAAAGCTGGGCATCTCTAGTCCCAGCTGCTTGAGAGGCTGAATCAGGATCACTGCTTGAGGTGAGGAGTTCAGGGCCAGCCCAAGCTACACAGCAAGACCCTGTCTCAAAAAAGCAGACAGAATTTGCTAAGACAAAGAGTAATCCAAAATTCTGACTAATTGTGAAAAGAATGGAAGGGGCACCAGAGAAAAAAAGATTTTATCTATGAAGTAATAACTTGTATGGCTCCGAAAGTTCTCTCCACAGCCTTCCTGACCTTCCTGCCCTTGTGTCATTCCCACTAGGTCAGGAGCACCTCTCATCTGCTGAGCCGACCACTGTCTGCAGTGGTTCTGAACCGACCAGAGACACTGACATATGAGGTACCTTAACAGGTGGAGTTGGGACTGTGGTTTGGGGGTAAAAGGGTATGGAAGGTTACCTGCCAGAACCAGTAGAGGGAGTCCTGAGGACAGTCATCGCAGAATAAAATTCTGGAAGAATCAAGGCCATTGCTTTAGGTGGAGGTGGAAGACAGGTAATAACCATGTATGTTTTTGTGTTTCGGTTTTTCTGGCAGTACATGCCTATATGTGCTACTGCTAACTGCTATTACTTAGTCTAGTCTAATTGACTTTAGGTCCCACATTACCAAGAAGAGGCTAGAGTCTCTGTCTTACCACTTCTAAAATATTGAAGGCATTTGAAATCCACCTCTGCTTGCCAGCATTTTCATAAGTTTTCCAGGGAGACTATAGGATTTGGCATCATAGAGGGCTTAAAGGGTAAAAAATGTTTCCAAAGCAAAAACGGGATTTCAAAAAAATCTTTACCTTCTTCCTATCTCTTCTTCACAGAGCTTCAGCAGCTTGGCAGTCCCATGTCCCCTGACCTCACTTATCCCTCACCGCCGCTTCCAAACCAGCACCATTTCAAGGGACATTGACACAGCAGCCAAGTTCATTGGGGCTGGGGCTGCCACAGTTGGGGTGGCTGGCTCTGGGGCTGGGATTGGGACTGTATTTGGAAGCCTTATCATTGGTTATGCCAGGTAAGATAAGTTGGGCCCATTGTCTCTGATATGCTTGCCAAACTTCTAGGCAGAAATATTAGACAGTCTAGAGTTGTACTATGCTAAAAGCAGCCACTATATAAAATATACATTTCAGTTCCTCAGGTCATACCAGCATATTTCAAGTGTTCAGGAGCCACATGTAGGTAGGCACTACCATATTTGACAGTGCAGATATAGAACATTTATATCACTGAAGAAAGTTCTGTTGAACATCTTTGGTATAGAACAGGGGTTGGCAAATTAAGGCCTGAAGGCAAAATTTGGACCACAGTCTGGTTTTCTATGGTTGCGTTAAGAATGATTTTTACTTTTTTAAAGGTTTTGTTTAGTTTTGTTTTTAAGCTAGAAGAAAAGATTTTTCAGTGGTCCTACTATAGGGAAGTGATAAATGTTTAAGGTACTGGATATGCCAATTATTCTGATTTGATATGTATCAAAACATTATATTGTACTCCATAAATATGCACAATTATTAGGGATGGGGTTGTGGCCCAGCGGTAAAGTGCTCGCCTAGCACGTGCGAGGCGCTGGGTTCGATCCTCAGCACCACATAAAAATAAATGAATAAAAATAAAATATTGTGTCCAACTACAACTAAAAAATATTTTTTAAAAAATATGCACAATTACTATGTTTGCATCAAATTTTTTTTAAAAAATTAAAAGGTAACAGAACCATATGTGGCCCACAAAGCCTTAAATATTTACTATTTGGTCCTTTATGGAAGAAGTTTGTAATCCCTGGTCTATAGCTCATTCAGTCATTCCGCATAGTGGCTTTACTGCTATCCCCACACCCCTCACTCTTGGGAAAACTGCCTCTGCAGCTGGCCCTATTGGTCCCTGACACTAGGGACTATTTGATTCCCACCAGCTCCAAACAACTCACTGGTATAACTAAATTAATCCTTTAGAGACCAGCAAGTTCTCTTAATGTCTTTGGGGAAATAAAGTTATTTTTTAGGGTTTGTGTTAAACAGAAAGCCTAATTGCTTCTGTGTCTATAATACTGTTAAAAGCTGGTGTTGCTTTACCTTACCCATTAAGACTTCCCTAGGTGTCAAGAGTAAGAGAAATATAAATTTTCTGACTATTTTGGATTGAAAGAAGGAAGTCAGTCCCCTGGCTCTGGGACAGTGTTTTTCTAATTGTGTCCATAAAGCCTGGGATCCTGAGGATATGCCCCAGATTGTCTTAAGAGAATGAAGGGGAGACCAGACAAGCATTTAAACTGCCCCACTTTTTTTTTTTTTTTTTTTGTACTATTGCAGTTTGGTTTTTGTTTCTTATTTTGTGGTTCTGCTGCTTAAAGTTTGAAATACTGCTCTAGAAAGACCTTACCACTCTGGATACTTTTCTGTCCTATTCGGGCCATGGATTTTAACTTTTTAAGTTACAATGATACAGGGGTAATCCACTGGAGAAGGTAATGTTGGTACCTGGGTTGTGTTATAGGATTTTGGATTGTCCACTTCCCCCTCATTTAGTCCCTGCAGAGACATTGGTGAATCGGGGCAAGAATTTGGACATAATGGTGTCATCTGAATGGCTCCTTGCATAAGATAAGTTTAAAGGCCAGGCTTCATGGTGCATGCCTGTAATCCTAGCTGCTCAGGTGGTTTAGGGAGGAGGATTATAAATTCAAGGCCAGCCTCAGAAACTTAGCAAAACTCTGTCTCAAAACCAAACTTTAAAAAAGGTTGAGGATGTACCTTGGTGATAGAATGCCCAGTACCACCACCAAAAAAAAAAAAGAATTCTCCCTGAGCCTACCTAGATGTTTATCCTTTTCTTTGTATGTACTAGAAATTCAGTGTTTTCTTCTCCCCTTCTCCCAGGAACCCTTCTCTGAAGCAACAGCTCTTCTCCTACGCCATTCTGGGCTTTGCCCTCTCAGAGGCCATGGGGCTCTTTTGCCTGATGGTGGCCTTTCTCATCCTCTTCGCCATGTGAAGGAGCAGTCTCCGCCTCGAATTCTTTCTCCCATGTCTTGTCTACCCTGTATGTCCCTTTTCCTATACTTCCTCAGGCAATCTGGGGAAAGTGGTTGGCTCAGGGTTTGACAGAGGGAAGACAAATAAATACTGTATTAATAAGATGTTTCTTGAGTCTCCTGTGTATATTTCTTTTCCACAGTTGGCTGAGTAACTTGGTGAGAGTACAAGGTATGCAAGGTGATGATGGTTCTAAAACTCAGCAGGATCTGGCTGAGCTCAATTGCTCTTAATTGTGTTTCAGGGAAACCTCATTTGAAATAGCTCTCCTTTTTAATAATTACCACCTCACATGACCTCTTATTTGCCCTAAAGGATTGGGGTTAGTAGCAACTACAATCCTGGCTTAAAATGATGATGATTAATTCATTTTCTATTAATCATCACTGTCACTGTCCTAGCTCAGTGCCTTGTTGTCGGTCACCTGTTCTGTTGTAAGAATTTCTTATTGGACCACTTGCCTCCTGTCTCTGCCCTTTACTTTTTACTTGTACCCACTACTGCCAGGTTAATTCTCCTATAGGACTGGTTTTTGTTTACCAACTCAAAAACAACTTTCTTAGCTTTATATTTTTGGGGGTTTTATTTCTTTCTTTAAGATGGAGTCTTGTTTTATTGCCCAGACTGGCCTCAAAGTTCTGGCTCAAGAGATCCTACTGCCTGAGTCTCCTGAGCTGAGACTATAGGCACATTCCATCAGCACATTCCATCATGTCGAGCTTATCTTTTTTTTTTTTTTTTTTTTTTTTAGTTGTAGATGAACACACAGTATCTTTTCTTTATTTCTATGTGGTGCTGAGGATCTAACCCAGTGCTTCATACATGCAAGACAAACGCTATACTACTGAGCTACAGCCCCAGGACTATCTTTTATTCTTACACACTTAACCCGAAGTGACTGTTATTTTTCAGATGCTTTCCCATCCTTAATTCTGCTCATCTTTGTTTTCTTTCTCTGAATCTTTGCTTACTTTCCTCTTTTTTTTTTTTTTTTTTTTTTTTTTTGGTGATGCTGGGAATTGAACCCACGGTCTTGTGCATGTGAGGCAAGCACTTTGCCAACTGAGCTATATCCCCAGCCCTGCTTTCCTCTTTTTTCAATCTGTTATCTTAAAGACTTGCTTAAATGCTGTCTCTTCCTTCATGAAGCTGTTATCTAATTTCTACCTACCCTCAGTCAAATGAGCATTAACCCCTATAAAGGGCTATAGAGCATATTGTATCTTGTTTATAATACTATGGTCTGTAATCTATGGATTTGTGTGCATGTGGACACTTAAATCTCCCAAATCAGGTTGTCAATTTCTTGAGGCTGAGACTCTCGTGTTCATGTTCATATCCCTAAAAGTATTTAATTTATCTCAGCATGTACTTAGTCACTTTTTTTTTTTTTTAATTTTCTCACCTGATTCTTTCTCCCTTCACAAGTAAGGAACCAAACTTTGAGAGATTGAAATGTTTTATCAGAGGCATTCACTGACAGGGAACTCATACAATCCAAGGTATAAAACTATCCTATTGTTGGTCTTATGGGACTCTTCCCAAGAAAAATGTTGCTGGTGACTATTAAAAATGTAGGAAGAAAAGGGCAGAGAAAACAAAGATAAACTTTTTTTCTGTTAAAAATGGTTCATGAGGTCTGGGGTTGTGGCTCAGAAGTAGAGCGATCGCCTAGAATGCGTGAGGTACTGGGTTCAGTCCTCGGCACCACATTAAAAAATAATAATAAAGATTGTGTCCACCTAAAAATTTAAAAAAAAAGCCTCATGATCTGAGCACAACAACCAGGAGCAGTATTGCTTGTGATTCTAGTGACTCGGGAGTCTGAGTCGGGAGGAATGCAAGTCCAAGGCCAGCCTCAGCAACTTCACAAGACCCTGTCTCAGCAACTCCTTAGCACCACAAAAACAAAACAAAAAACAGTACATGATTTACAATCAGGAAGAAAACACAGATACCTTCTTAGGGTGGTAAGGATTGAGCTAGGGCCTTGTGCATGATATGCAAGCATTTTACCACAGAGCTGTGGCCCCAGTGCTATTCTTAAAATAGACAGATACCTGATGACTGAGGAAGGGGAAAGGCAGTAGAGCCTTCTACCAAAGGTTTAAATTCAAGTGAATAAAACAAAGGGAGGGCTATTGCTTATTTCCAAATATGTATATACTTCCCATCACCTCTGGGTTGGAGGAAACACAAATTAGAATCTGTGCTCATGAGGTCCACACCCCAGATAATATAGCAATCTGGAAGCAAACTGTGGAAAGACCCCTCTTGACCCTTAATCAAATATCAAAGGGGCAAGGATAAATGATTTGGAGTGATCTGCCTGTGGACTTTTAGTTACTGCTTGAACCAAAAGTAAAACCACTAAAGTCAACAATGTTATAATTTCTGAAAAGATGCTAGCACATATCCAGTTATTTCAAGCTATGTAAGATAGAGCTTATTCAAAATTTAGCCTTTAGAAAATACAGGAAATTTGCCAGGAATGGTGGCACATCCCTGTAATCTCAGCAACTTGGGAGGCTGAGGCAGGAGGATACCAAGTTCAAGGTCAGCTTCAGTAATTTAGGGATACCCTCAGCAACTTGGTGAGACCCTGTCTCAAAAATAAAATAAAAAGGGCTGGGGTTGTAGTTCAGAGGTAGAGCAACCCTGGGTTCAATCTCCAGTATTTAAAAAAAAAAAAAAAAGTTATTTGCTCTTCTTGCAATTGTTCTTTTCCATGTTAATTTTAAAATCAGCTTAAGGGCTAGGGTTGTAGCTCAGTGATAGAGTGGGTTCAATCCCCAATAGCCCCATTCAAAAAACGTTGTGAAATTCTAATTTTGTCAACTCTGTGGCCCCAAGTACCTCTTGAAGTTTTGGTGCTGAGAGTTGAACTCAAGGCCTGAAGCTTACTAGGCAAATGTTCTACTGGATTGAGATGTATCCCCAGACCTTTAAAAAAACTTTGTTATATGCATTTATGAGTGTCAAAATGAACCCCACTATTATATATAACTATAATGTACTAATTAATAAAACAAACATGGGCTGGGGCTGTAGCTCAGTGGTAAAGAGCTTGCCTTGCATGTGTGAAACACTGGGTTCGATCCTCAGCACCACATAAAAACAAATAAAGACATTGTGTGTCCATCTACAGCTAAAAACTTTATATATTAAACAAACAAAAAACCTCTACAGTAAAAAACGTAAGTTTGAGACACAGTCTTGCGAAGTTGCTGAGGCTAGCCTTGGACTTGCATTCTTCCTGCCTCAGCCTCCCAAGTCACTGGAATCATAAGCATGTGCTACTGCCCCTGGTTGCTGTGCCCAGATCAGAAGGCATTTCTAACAGAAAAGGTTTATCTTTGTTTACTCTGCCCTTTTCTTCCTTCATTTTTAATAGTCACCAGCAACATTTTGCTTGGGAAGAGTCCCACAAGACCAACAATGTGATAGTTTTATACCTTGGATTGCATGAGTTCCCTGTCAATGAATGCCTCTGATAAAACATTTCAAACTCCCAAAGTGTTAAAGTGTTTCTTTACTTGTGAAGGGAGAATGAATCAGGTGAGAAAATTAAAAAAAAAAAAAAAAAATGACTAAGTACATGCTGAGATAAATTATATTAAATACTTTTAGGGATGTAAAAATGTGTTTTATTCTTCTTCTTTGTCCTTCCTACAGAATTTAGTTTAGGTAACCACTTAACAACTTAGGTGTGTACAAGCAAAGCTTGGTGGCCCATGTGTTTTTGTTTTCTCTGAGGTAAATGATGAGATTGTTCTGCAAGAAGCTTGGAGGCAAATTTATTCAGGAGTCAAGGCAACCTGGATCCACTTGGCTTCAGGCCCCAAGAGACATCTATTGGCAACCCAAGTTGCCAACAACTTGGGGTAGAGGAGAGGAGAAACAGGGTTCAAGAGCAAATTTTCTGAAGATCTCTCCAACTTTGATTTCAGTTCTAATTTCTCTAATAGCACTGGCTATTGAGACACTGGGCAGATCATTAACCAGGAACTTTCTAGGACCTCTGTTTCTGCACATTTACTAAATAGGGGTAATAATATTCATCCCAGGGATCAGCATGTGCCCACAAATGTGCCTTGAGTATTTTGAAATGATAGTCATCAAAATTCAACCTGTAATCCTACTTGCTCAGGAGGCTAAAACAGGAAGATCCCAAGTTCAAGGCCAGCCTCAGCAACTTAGCAAGGCCCTAAGCAAGTTGGTGAGACCCTGTAATAAAAATTTAAAAATTAAAAAAGAAAGAAAAAAGGGCTGGGGATGTAGTTCAATGGTACCCCTGGGTTTAATGCCAGTAACCTGCCCTCATAAAAATTCAATGTATACTGATTATAATTTGCTTTCTTTTTCTTCATGGCACTCCAAGCCTATTATAACCATTTTTTTAAAAAAAATTATTTTTTTCAGTTGTAGTTGGACACAATACCTTTATTCCATTCATTTTTATGTGGTGCTGAGGATTGAACCCAGGGCCCTGCTCATGCAAGGTGAGCGCTCTACCACTGAGCCACAATCCCAGTCCCCCTATTATAACCATTTTATAGGCAGCTTCTCCCTCTTATGGTAGGCATAGAGAAGGGAACTGACCATTCAAATTTTATTCAGATGGGAAACATCCAAGGAGAGAACCCAGGTATGCTGAAGGCAGCGAGACCCACTTCCCTCTTCTTCTTTTTTTTTTTTGTTTTTTTAAACACTTATTCTTTTTAGTTGTAGGTGGACACAATACCTTTATTTAATTTTTATGTGGAGCTGAGGATCAAACTCAGTGCTTTATGCATGCTAGGTGAGCGCTTTTCCTCTGAGCCACAACCCAGTCCCCACTTCCTTCTTCTTAATCCTTAGTTATTTCAAGAGTTGATTGTGTGCAGGGATTAAACATCTGTAATCCCAGCAAGTCAGGAGCAGAAGCAGGAGGATCAAAAATTCAAGGCCAGCCTGGACAATTTGGCAAAGCCCTAAGCAATGTAGTGAGACCTTAGCTCAAACATAATAAGAAGTTGTGGGTGCAGTGGCAGATACCTGTAATACCAGCAACTCAGGAGGCTAAGGCAGGAGGATCGTAGGTTCAAAGCCAGCCTCAGCAATTTA